CGGAGGAACTAAATTTTGAGTGTAATGAAGGGGAAAAAAAGTAAAATAAAATCTGGAAGCATTAAGATATTATATTACGCCCAAAAGGAACCTTTTTTTAACGTTTTGTGGGTTACCTATATTTATTGAATATCATGTTCTTCTGTTTATCACTGTGGTGTATTATGAAATATAATTGAAATAATATTCCTTTATAGAAATTGAGCTATAATATACATCTATTATTTTAAAAAAAGCAGCACAATTTAGAACTTTAAATAAAACTTTCAAAAATTCGTTTTTAAATATTTTAGTATTTTTGACATATTTACACCAATAAGAAGCATAAAAATTGCTTGTTTGAAATTTTCTATTAGTTCAGATTTAAAATATTATTTCCTAAAAGAAGTGTTTACAAATTTCCTTACAGCCAAAAATAAGCTAAAAAAATATCCAGCCCTGAAAGCATGCAATAGCTTTATAATTATTTGGAACGTTAATTATGCTTGATAGATATGCTAAATTTTTAAAAATCAATCTCAATTTCAAAAATAAAAATATGTAGAAATTCTAATTTGTGAAATGAGGCGCTACAACCAGCTTTTTCTTGACAATTATACACGCTGCAATAGAATTATACCCACTGTTATACCCACTGTTAAATTTCTGCAAGTCGTCCCTACTTCTCTAGATGTGATCAAGGTGACAGCCGGGAACGCCTCGGACGAGGGAGAAAACCCATTTGAGTTAGTCTATTTCTTATAAGGTCAATGTCTTTAGCACGTTTGAGCAACGTCAAACTGTGACGTCATCTGATAGCCGATTGGAGAAATTGTTAACCAACCATCGGAGAGGGTTGCGGGATTTCTTTTTTTTTTTCAGTTGCGCTGTATAAAGAATTCGAAACTCGGATTTTCTCTCTGGCTTTGGTTGACGCTGAAATTCAACGGTTTGTATCAGGTTTGTTCGCTATTATCATGGTACAAAGATTACTTTTAAAGCATGCAAATAATGCATACATGCATTTTGGAGCTAAAGTAAAATAAAGTGGGCACTATTAATGAGAACGAATTCTTTTAAATTATCATTCTAAGTTTACAGTGTTTTGTAACTTAATGAATAACTTTTAGTTTGAAGAAGTGTACCTTTACCAAAATATTTCTATTAAATTTATGTTTTTATGGTTGTTGAAATTTACTTTAGCATATAGCATATATAAATTATAGTGTTTAGAATTTTAATGCTGTTCTATATATACTAATAATATTCTAGTAATAAGTAATTCTTCCAATTTTAATTATCTAATAATAAGGTAATAATAAATTAATTTATAATGTTTTAACAGCTCTAGTGTAACTTTTGAATATCGTAAATTTAATAACATTTTATTTAATTTACTAATTATTTATCAAGTTTATTATTTATTATTATTTATTCAGTTGATTATTTATAATTTACTATTTATTTATTAAGTTGTTGACTTTGAATATTTAGCTCGCTTAACATTGTTTCTGATTTACATTTCAGTGGGGTTTGTTTCACCTATTTAAACGTGCTGTAGGTCTCCTGTTTTTATATCATATAACGGAAATTTCATTACATATTTTATTGCTGTCGAATTACTTTTTTTCCCATCCTTAATATCTGTAAGTGGTCAACATTTTATTCTTTTTATGCATCTTTTATAAATAAACATTTTTTCGGACTTTACTGTATTCTGAAAATAAGAGGTTTTACATATTTTATTTCATGTCATACTACTACGTGGAATGCAAAATGTTTTACATTAGAGAACTTACTCATAGTGTTATGTTTTACAATACGTTTATTAAATTTACATAATTCAGACAAAGCTTCTACAACATTTTCTAAACTGTTAGGTTTAACTGACACACACACAAAAAAAGTTTTTTTTTTTTTTTTTAATAATAGTTTCAAAATTAAAATGTTTCTTTTTTTGAAATCAGTTCCAGATCTAGACTTGATTTCTGTTAAACAATTTTTATATACTAATTTATATATTTTAGTTGATAGAGAAATACGTAAATTTCTATAGGCGAATCGTTAAATATATTAAGTGCATTTTTTAACAAACATTTCCCCATATCACATTATTGAATATTAAACATACGTTCATATTTAGAAGATATACATATAAGAACACAGAATTTAACTAATTTATTTTAGAAGTAAGCATTAGACTAATTTATTTAAGAACAAAAGTAATTTGTCTGAGAACTGAACATGAACAAAACTAAGGTTTTTGGCACTTATTTGTCAATCAATAATTCAGAATTAGTGGTCAAAAGTAACAAATTTTTTATATATGGATGGTACCTATATATTTTTGAAAGCTTATATATTGCATAAATTTTTATTGAAATGAATAACGGTATTATGTTTACCCTAAGAAGAGAAAGAGCTCTTGACTGACTGATTGGTATATACAAACATGCGAATAGTACAAACAAAAATTCTAGAAAAACCACCGAAATATTTTTTTATCACTCTCGCTTTAAATGATAGCGAAGAGTTTGTTTATAACCCGTGGAGATTTCAGAACTTCATATAGATAGAGTTTAGGATGTTAGAAGTTCTAAAAAGAATGCAATATCAATAACAATATTATTAGAGAGTAGAGTTATTTCGAAGCAGGAGTCATGAAAAATGAGCAGTGGGCCTCGCCGGGACCAGAACCTCGGACCTTTCGACTATGCTGGCTATTACACCACGAAGGCATATTAAGAAGGCGGGAAAAATACCTTATAATAGTATGACAGTAAAGTTAAGGAAATTAATTTCTAAAACGAAATCCCGAGAAAAATGTATACAAACTTGCAAAATATAAAACATTTATAAATGGCATTCCAGATTTCATTGCAAATAATTTTAAACGGCAGTTAATTCTTAAATTTTTCCTTTTAAATCATAACGGAAAATGAAATGAGTATTAAATGCAGTATGTTAAAAAATTATAAAATAGCAGATGAATTCTATATTAATTTAAATTTCTTTGCAAATAATTCTTTCTAACAGGAGAAGAAGGAAAAGGATAAATAAATAAATAAAATCAATGTTAGAAAAATGTAATGGAAGAAAAATTGTACTGTCAAATTTATCAAGACATCCTGGCCTCTATGACCATCAGTATACAACACAAACTCAATTTTTATCTTTCTGATTTTAAAATAATTTTTTTATAATCTGTGAAAATTTCGAATTTGCATAACTCATACAGTTCTGTATCTTAAAAATTTAAAACAACAGACGCTGTTAAAATAACAGTGAAATGGTCTAAACAATCGAGTGTTTCCGGTAAATTACTAAAAAGCAGCAAATTATGTTTAAATTTAGGGTATAGATTTCATTAAAAAGATTTTTTCCTTCTTATCTGGTGTTGAATACAGAAATTTTGAGTTCGTTATGTAAATCGAGATAAAAAATGTTTCAAGATACACTCCTTTATCAACTGGATAACCACGTGTTCCAAATTTCATAGCACTGGGCTATCTCACGAACTCACATACAGTTTTTTCATTTCATAGTAATAGAGATAAGTTTTAAAGCAATGCAGACGTGAAAAGGGTTTATGTTAGTGAACTAAGATTTAAAAACAGATGTTTAAATAAAAATATCTAAAAACTAATGTCAAAAAGATCTAAATGTCTAAAGGGACTTCGTGACTCAGAATCTTTCGCCATTATCTGATGAACAAAAGTTTGAAGCGTTCATGAAACACAACAAAAAATATAACAAACATTTCCCTTGATATAAAACTAGTGCTACGTTAAACATTACGTCAACTTTATTAAATCTAAATTTTGCAGTCTATATCGTAAAAACTCATAAATCTTTTTCCAGTGTGAACAATCAAATACCTGCTGTTTTTTTGCCCGTTGACGCCACCGAATAATAATTCCACTGAACAAACAAAAAGGTGAAACGTCTAAGGACGAAACAGACGTAATTCAAAATGTTTTGACGGCAAAAAAGTTTTCAATAATTTTTTGACAATTTATATACTGATTTTCTTATTTTTCGTGGAAGTGGCCAAAACAAGTCTCGAGTTGGTAAGATCTCGAAGGTACGTAATTGTCTTATAAGAATGGTAAGTACTTTACTTGAAGTTGGTAAGATCTCGAAGGTACGTAATTGTCTTATAAGAATGGTAAGTACTTTACTTGAACCTTCTGAGAAATGTAGATACGCAAAACTAAATGAAAAACAGTGAGGTTCTTTTGCTATTATCAGTGGTAGCATACGAATGGCTTCCGTGCCGAGGGAGTCGTTTTACTTAAAAGATTTGGAAGAATCGCAGAAGGCATCTTTCATGAGGATGAAGCATCAGTATATTTGCAGTAAGTGGCGGAGGACGTGCCAAATGTTCAGTTTTTATACTCTGTTGCGACGAACTAGACAGAGTTCCTGCTTAAGTTATAAGGTATTTCTCTCGCCTTCATAGCTTGCCTTCATGGTGTAGTTGTTCTGTACGCTGGGCCGGTATTCCAAAGGTCCGTAGTTCGATTCCCAGAGAAAACGGTTGCTAAGTTTTCGTCATGCCTGCTTCTAAAAAAATACATCATGTCTCTACAGTGGCACCCGATCTAAAAGAAGGGTTGTGGATGAGGATTCTTCACACCCAGGATTTGGCGACTGGTTCCCTAAAAACCCCAGTCGCTCTTTAAAAGAGGGAGTATACAAGGTATTTCTACCGCCTTGATAGCGTGTAGTAGTTCTGCACGCTGGGCCGGTATTCCAGAGGTCCGTGGTTCGATTCCCGGCGAAGGCGGTTGCTAATTTTTCATCATGCCTGCTTCTTAAAAAAATATCTATTGTCTCTACAAAGTGACCATGAAACGTAGACTTATCGCGAAATCAGTTTTTTCTTTCGAAGTCTTTTAAAGGCTGATTTAGAGTAGGTATAACAAGTTCTAAAGATTCATAATCTTTGTCATTTGAAAGGGGAAAAAATGCATGTAACTTTGCAGCCATTAATTTTGTGCTTTAATTGCTGATTATAGACGAAGTCTACTGAAGCGCAGCTCTTTGACAGCAGAAAACAATTCTCACTGGAGTATGCACCTAAGTATACTTGACTACAGCAGCAATATGACATATATAAGACTATGGATCAAAGTCCTTTCGAATACAGCAATAGCACGACATACACAGAACGCTCTTATTCAAGGTATGGACCGAATTTTTTTCACAGCAGAGAAATTATTAATCGCTCTTGCACGAGTATAGTTCGAGATCTACTCGAGCATAGCTTATTAAAAGTATGATAAACATCGTATCTGTGCATGCCGTGCTGTTATATACCTTTATATTGATTTTGAAATGCTTTAATTATTAATCGCTCTTGCTCTTGAGAGAAATTATTAATCGCTCATGCACGAGTATAGTTCGAAATCTACTCGAGCATAGCTTATTAAAAGTATGATAAACATCGTATCTGTGCATGCCGTGCTGTTATATACCTTTATATTGATTTTGAAATGCTAACTAGAATGATTAGCTTTATATGAATTATTAGTTGAAATAAGCAAATTACAGAGCATAATGAATAAAGATTAATACCACATAAACTAAAAATTTTATTTTTTAGACACCATGCATAATTATTTTTACAAGTAATCGTTTCCTAAACGAAGCTTTTATTTTCACTTGAACTCTGGGAAACTGGCTCGTATACACGTTACACATTTGGAAAGCAACGAAAACGCCCATGCAGCCAGCCCGTTCGCGGATTTGAACCTCAGACCGGACTACCAGTGTTCACCGCTCGGCCGCTGGTGGGCCATGAGAGATTTTTGGAAGAAATGCTTTTCGGCAGTATAATTGTACAGATACAAATTTTCAAGGTATTTCTACTTAGGGGCTTAATTTATGAAAGGGCAGAAGGGGCGTTTGTCCCGAGGCTGTAGTTTCAGGAGGCATCCAAATACTCTTTTTTGTTTTACGTATAACTAATTTTATGTATTTTTTCAATCCTAAGTCTTATAAAATTAAAAAAGGAGAAAAACTAAAGAATCTTAAGATTCTGCTTTTCCAACTAAAAAAAAAAGTTTAAAACTTATGCTTTTACAATAATTAATTATTTCCTCAAAAATAAGACCTTGGTAGAAAATTTGAATTAAATTAATTAATTTTTTTAAATGGGTTCTGGTTTAAAGTATAAGCTTAATACACAATAAACTTTTAACACATAGTAAACTGTATTGAAGTTTATTATGTTCTATTAGATAAACTTTTTAACACAAAACGAAGTGAAATTATAGAAACAGTACAGGGAAAAGAAGTTATTTTATTTTAAATAAGTTGAAATGAAAAATATTGAATTGTTTAAATACTTTGCGATTAAAATTTTTGAAAACTTCTACATTGAAAAAACAAAACACACACACACACACACAAAAAAAAAAAAAAAAAAAAAAGTAGAGGTGACCTTAGTAAGAAATGTGTTCCCAGGCCTTCCAATTTTTATAAGGTGGGCACTGTTCATCACACAAAACTGTCTTTGCATATTACCTAAAAACTTATTTTCTAAACGTTATTGGTACCCTTCTGCAATACATTTTCAAGTAGAATTACGAAAAAAAATGAATCCCCCTTTTTATGACGCGTGAGGAATGCAAAATATCAGAAAAGGAATATATTTTCATTTAGGCGGATTAATTTCTTTAAAAATTTGCACATATAGATTAGGTGAAAAAAATGTATATCGATTTGGTATATAAGAAATGTTTATACCATGATTCGTAAAAAAAAAATTATTTAACACTTTCCAAATATGTATTTAAGGCAATATGGTGACGAAATTTTTGCGTGTCCCGCCACTTGATATTTAAAAAAAACTGCTGTTCATCAACTGTAAATCATCCTATAAACTACCAAAATGTATATATTAAATAAACTATTTAAAGCCTAGTTTCTGTAATGAAAATAAAGCTGTAGAATTTTCAGTAAGTCTAAAGAAGAGCTATAGAGCTTCAGTATTGCTAAATATGGACCATCATTAAAGAAAAAGAAAAAAGAAAGCTTTGGAATCTACATCAGTTCTAAAGGAGAGCTGAGATGAAAATTGCCTGTCTACAGATCACCATATTCTGTTGTGAACCGCAGAATAAAAAATAATGATCAAATCCTGAGAAAATATTGAATTAAATTACTGTAAATTTTAAGAGTTGCACAGTTTTTATTGTAACTTTATACTGAAGAAATAAATAGCATTTTTATCACTATCTTATTAAATTTAGTTTTTAAAAAAGGGATTCAATTGATTGTAACAAAGCGTACCAAGGGAACATTTAATGTTTAAGGATGTTGGATTATTGGGTGGTTTCTTAAAAATACTCTATATTCATATATCCGTGATCCAAGACAGATAGCATTTGAGTGCATTGCTTAATCATTACACAATGGTAAAATCATGAAAAAAACTCTCATACAAGCCTCTTCATCTATAATTAAGACTTGAAAGAAATCAACAGTGTTCTTTGGTTTTTATGTGTATGGTCGTTACTAAATACAACATTACAAAGAATATTTCCATAAAAGATCTGCAGAAATAAAACCATTATTTACAAATTAACAAGTTGTATATTGATTTAAAAAATTTCATTTGTTACAGTTTTGCCACTTAAAATACAGAAGAAGAGACTATTTTAACTGAATATTAAATTAGTTTAGGCACCACTGTACATCACCTGCGTGGATCTGAAATACATCCAAATATAAATAAATATATGAAACACGTGACACCAAAACCAGTTAAGTTTGAAATATGATAAGAATGACGGAGTAGCAATTGAGAACTTACCTTATATGACATTATATAGTCTGTTAACTACAGAACATTGAAAACATTCTATGAAATGAGTATAAAGTTATTATATTTAACCAATAATAAATAAACAATTATATAAATTAAAAAAAAACTCTTATTTTCTCCTGTAGCCTTTAGTTTAAAGCAATTTTTTAAGTCTTATACCTAACGATTACAGTAAAAAAAAAAACATAAGCTACAGTATTGTTGAGTTACAAACTTTTTCAGTTGTTTTAAATAACAAGGTCATTGAAATTCATGAAGTTTTCAGTTACAGACTATTTTAATACATCAAAGTGCAAAAATAAAAGTAATGAACTGAATACGAAAATCAAAACATCACTTTTATTTCTTTATACACTTTAATAAAAATTACAATTAATAGAAAGCGTGCTTTTGACAGACAAATAAATAATTATAATGAATTAAAAGGAACTGGATAATGTACCAGTCTTAAATATTTATATATGAGATTTTATAACAAATAACATTAACCAACTCACTACTACTACTCACCCAATCCTACTAGTCAACTATAAATCTCCTGATATTCTTGAAGAAGTTCAGTCTGATTCCAGTAATAAGCAAGCATCAGAAACAGCAAAACAGAATTTGAATTAAAACGCGTAGTTTAGTATCTTAGTGTTACCATGACAATTTCAACCACTAGTAAGCAAGCAAAACTTCATTTTATTTATATAAAACTGGACAAATAAGTATAATAAATAATAGCTATAAATTTAACTATAAAACTAAACTGTAATAAGTGATATATATAAAACTGAACCAAACGACTGCAGTGCATCGAAGAACTGTTCAACTGAAATAAGCACTAAATTACAAACAGCTTGCAATGAATTCTCAATGCATTAAAAGAGGAAAAATAAATTAATAAATAAGAAATCGAAATATTTTCTTTGTTGAATTAATTATTATAAAAAATCTTATAATGATTAGATAAAATGATTTAAAATAACATAATCAAATTATTAAATTATCACTATAATTACATACGTAATAACTGGCTTAACTTTAAAATCGTAAATACACACCTAGAAAAAGAGCTTGAACCAAATGTGAAGACCTGACAGATATTCGGATAATTTTGGAAAACCTACCTAGCTCTTTAGGTCCTGAGAACAGTATAAAAGTGATGTCATGTGACAAAGAAATGAGAATGTTGGGGGGGGAGGAAATTTTCTATGTATTGCATAAATTTAATACCTGTCAAAGAATGCTGGAAAGTGTTAATACAAGGTGAAGATAAGGAAGACTTTCCTACCAGCAAAATTTCAATTTTTGGATAACACGCCCCCTTTTGGTTGTGCCTGTCTAATCAGCATAGCCAATAAGATGCTCTTATTTCAAGGTGTTCGGCTACGCTCACGTTTGTAATCTTGGATAAGGCGAGAATTTTTTAAACATTCCTGTTCAACTACATTTTATTTAAATATTTGTTTTTTAATTATATAACGAACTGCATTTTTTTTTATCTTTGTCTCCAGCTTAAAGTATTGAATGTAAGAGTAAAATGGTCCTTAACTTAGGAATTTCCTAAGATCAAAATTTTAAACATACAAATAAAGTTGAGTAATGTGCTTAGGATTCAATTTGGTTTATGAATATCTATATATAAGGACAATTAATTTGTATTTAAATTTAACCTTTCTTTAAAATGAAAGCAAAAATAACAACTATTACTTTTTATATTATATGTAACTTTATACTTTTTAATAATACACATAACTTAATAACAACTATTTGTTGTTATTACATTAACTAAAAGAAAACGTAATTGAAATTAATAGCTGAAGCACTTTCCAGTTGCATGTAAAAGCTTAAATGAAAATTAAAAAATTAATTAAAAACATTATAATGAATATCTTAAAATATCATTTAATCATCAATGTAGCATATCAGTTCGAAAGCCATACTTGAAGTTCAGCAGTTAATATTTAGTTAATGCATGGTACCTGTACTAAAAATAGTAAAAGCGTAATATCATAAATTCGATAATACAAAATAAAAATTTTAAAAAAGGTATATTCATTGCGGGGGGGGGGGAAGTGAGAAAAAAAAGGACAGTTCTACTGAGCCGTTCTACTGAGCCAATTGACGAAATTCAGATTGCGTTTTTCATGTCTCGACAGTGTGAATTAGGATATGTATTAGATTTACATATAGAATTGTTCTAATATAGGTATTTTGACACAAAAGCTGACTTTTTTCTAATATGACATGCCAATGTTTTTCCATATTTCAATTCTACGACTCAAATTATGCCAAACTGCCAAGTTTTATAAAAATCACACGAGTAGTTTTTAAAAAATTAGCTGTCAAAATTTTAGCTCCTCAATGTTAATTGAGTTTGGTATATATTTGTTAATATCTCCTTTTTTTATGAAACGTATTTGATTCTTCTTTACATATTTCGAAATTTAGGTTCATTCCAAATAAAAATTATCCATTTCTTATGATTTATTTTTTAAATTTGTATTTTTAAATAATTTTTATAAATTTTTTCGAAAGCAATATTGTATTATAAACTATAAAATTTTTACCATCATTTTAAAGAAGATGTATTTCTATGCATACTTGCAAAAAAATTAAAGTTTTTTATTCAAAATTTCCCAAGATATACGTGAATTTGTATATTGGCGCATTTAGAAATTTGGCGTATTTATTACAGGTAATAATAATAATGAAAAAGTGTTTTACGCACTTCGTTAAAATTATTTGAAAGAATGAACTATGGACCTTTTTAACGCTGGTGCATGAATGAAAAAAAAGGAAAGTAAGTAGGTTGCTATAAATTAAGAATTTCGCCTTGGCGCAACCTGAAAAAAGATAAATTTTTTAATTTCTCCGTAAATTTTGCTCCAAATTTTACAAAATTTAATATTTAGGCATAATTTGAGTCGTAGAATCGAAATATGGAAACAAATTGGCATTTGATTTCAGAAAAAGTCCGATTTTGTGTCAAAATTATTAATTTGTTATATTAGAACAATGGCTGTATATAAATTTAATATAATATCTTAAGCTGCGCTTTCGAGACATGAAAAACACAATTTGAATTTCGTCAATCGGCCCAGTAGAACGGGAGACGATTACTCTAAAACGGAGAAACTCTAGAACGGAGAACTGTCCAATGATTTTTATTTTCCGCAGTGTACCTATTATGTCAAAAATAATTTTACCTTCTATTAACTATGACTTCTGAATCAATAAATAAAGTAGCAAAGCTCAGTTGAGACAATAAGCAAATTAAATCGTACAGGACAAACAACAAAGGTATAACTCATATGTACTTTCTTGAATACAAATACTACTTTATTTGATATATATGAATATCGATACCTTCAGTGTTCTTTAACAATAAGGATAACCCTCTGTGAAGTTTGCATCTTTAGTTAGATTGTTTATTGTATTGATCAAAATTTCTTTCAAAAATAAATTCTTTTTTGTCAAATTTCTGCTATGTATTATTACTTATTTCGATGATAGAAGAATATTCATTTCGTTTTTTTCTAGAATTAAGAAACATATTTCATGTGCCCTAGATGTAATAAGTTGGTTATTTGTGTATGATACGAGGGCTATCTTCTTACAAAGAGGGGTCTCGTCATTTAGGATTTTTTAAGTGAAACTGGCTTGTATTCGCCTTACACATGGGGAAAATCCATAAAAAACAAACATGCAGCCAACCCGTTTGCCTAGGATCAAAGTCCACATGAACTTTCAGTATTCAGTGATCTTTACAACTCGGTCACTAGTTGGGCTTCCTTAATGTAACATACAGGATTTTCAATAAAAGCTGTCGAAAACGGACTTCATTTACTTAAGTACTTTTCCTATACATAGCTTTCTAAGTTTCTCTAAATGAAGAGCAGAATTTTGAAAATATTTTTAGCACGGTGTATGGGAAGGGTTCCCTTGATGAACCAATATTTTATATACTTTCTGTCGAATAAAATCTTCATTGTCCAAAAAATGTTTAGTTTCCATTTCTCAAAATCAAAAGCATTTCACACTATTATGGGCAAAACTCTTATCACAAGAAAAGAGATTAGCAGTTGATTTTTTTAATGCTGATTTTAAAACGACGAACAGCTTATATTTTGAGTTGCTTCCTTAATTTTTTTTTAATTTTAAATTAACTTAAATCTGTAGCAGACGTAAGAAAATAATATAACTTAAGTAACTTCTTACTCGAATAGTTCCGAACATTTTTCACATAAAGTTAAGAAATATTACATTATGATTTTAATACTCTTCGTGACCACTTATTCTTGGAACTGCTAAGTTGTCCATTTTAATCAATATTATTAATTTACTTATTTATTAATATTTTGAACATGATATGGAGAATTATCGCATATACTCTTGTGAACTTTTAAGAGGTTAGCGGTAGCAAATCCAGATGGAAAATGGAAGATCCTTGGTTCAAATCCCGAAGAGGGCATAGCTAAGTTTTGACGATTCTCGCATAGAAAAAAAAAACCTAATCCGTACAAAGATATCTCTTTTTCTCTTCGAAGTGTAGACTTGTAAGTTTATAAGGTATTTCTCCCGCCTTCCTAGCGTGCCTTCGAGGTGTAGTGGTTCTACACGCTGGGCTGGTATTCCAGAGGTCCGTCGTTCGATTCCCGGAGAAGGCGATTGCTCATTTTTCATCTTGCCTGCTTCCAAAAGTGCCTAATGTCTCTAGAGTGGCGTCCGAACTAAAAACACCAGCCCCCTAAAACACCACTCGCCCTATAAGCCGCCCTATACCAGTATATAAGGTATTTCTTCCGCCTTCTTAGCGAGCCTTCGTGGTGTAGTGGTCTGCACGCTCAGCGCGTAATTAAGAGATCCGTGGTTCAATTCCCCGCTAAGGCGTTGCTAATTTTTCATCTCTCCTGCTTCCAGAAAATACCTAATGTCTGTACAAGGTATTTTCTATTCTTCTTCGTGGTGTAATTGGAAGCGTACTCGAGGCGTATTCAAGAGGTGCAAGGTTCGTGTTCAAGAGGTGCAAGGCCATGTCGCATGCGCACGCAACTCCACAAAACTTTTCTTCCCACAGTACTCCCACAGCCTTATTGGCTAAGAAAGATCGCTCATCGCATAGACACTCATCGCATTGACACTCATCGCAGCACATTCGTAAATCGCTTAAACGAAACTCAACTCGAACCATCAAACTGTATTCGTGTACCTAAATTAGGCCATGTTGTAATACCACGGCTATTCCCGCGAAACGCAAGAGAAATCTCATCACTAATTAAGTTAAAACTGCAATTGCTGGAGAAAATGGATAAAGGAGTCAGGAGATTGATTTTAATGGACTAATATGTATAAAGCTATAAATTCAGCTTTATATGATATAAATAACAGGGGGTTCCGATTTCAGAGATTTTTTTATTCATATCGAATCTACCATTATCAGGTTCAGTGTTCCGTCTTACTTTCTTTGGGAACATGCAAGGACCTGACTCGGAACAGGGAGCTTACTAAAGCTGTGTCCAATAAATGTGGGAAGTAGACAAGATACACAGGAAGGGTATACGAAACCCTTTATTTTTCACTCTTTACAATAATTTCCGTACTTCGGAATACAGAGACCAACTACTTGTGGTCTGAACGTAAGAATATAAAAATATTAACTAAACTTTAACTTAAATTTGGAATAATAAACAAGGGCCTACGTGGAAGATTGGCCGTATATTAACAGGAAGCCGTATGTAGTACAGAGAACTGTTAACACTACAATACGTTTAAAATTATCAAGAGGATTAAACCTCTGGCCTGGAAGGCAACCAGCAACCGAGTAAAACTTCTACGGCAAGCGGCCTGCTTCGACTAACTCCTTCCTCTCTCTCGCTTGGCAAAAAGCCACAACTTAAGTACTTGGCTTTCGCCAGACAAATTTGCATAAATAAGTTAAAGCTTTTAATTCGGGCCGGAACTAGAAAATAAGAAGTGATAGTAAAGATTTAAAATAAAATAAACGTTAGTAAAACTTAAGATCTTTACACCATAGTCGCAAAAATTAGGAAAACTGTTCAACAGTTCCGATGTGAAGAATTAAATGTGTTATACGAGAGTTTTTCCCTAAAAAGGTCAAAAGGATCTTGCCTTTCTAAACTAAGCCTGGAAGAAAAAGAGAAGCAATTGCACTGCAAAATGAATTTGCAAGGCGAGTACAGGTTTTCCCTTGGA